CCAACATGGCAAAAACCCGTCTCTACTAAAAATACAAAAATTAGCCAGGTGTGGTGGTGTGTGCCTGTGATCCTAGCTACTTGGGAGGCTAGGGCAGAATTGCTTGAACCTGGGAGGTGGAGGTTGTAGTGAGCTTAGATCACATCAGTGTACTCCAGCCTGGGTGACACAGTGAGACTCCATCTCAAAAAATTAAAAAAAAAAAAAAAAAAAAAAAAAGAATCTTGCCAGGTGTGGTGGCACACACCTCTAATCCTAGCACTTTGGGAGGCCAAGGGGGGAGGACTGCTTAGGCCAGGAGTTCAAGAACAGCCTGTGCAACATGGTGAGACTCCAGCTCTACAAAAAAGAAAACTAGCTGCATATGATGGTGTGCAGCTGTAGTCCCTGCTACTTGGGAGGTTAAAGTGGGAGGATCTTTGAGGAGACTGGAAATTCAAGATTGTAGTGAGCCACAATCATGTCACTGCACTCCAGCCTTAGTGACAGCAAGACTGTTTCAAAAAAAAAATAATCTTGAGATGGGGAGATTATCTTGGATTATCTGTGTGGGCCCTAAATGTAATCATGCATATTCTTATAAAAGGGAGGCAGAGGGAGATTTGACCCAAAAAACAGAAATGTGAGCACTGAAGCAAGATGGTTGCCGGCTGTGAAGATGGAGGAAGGGGCCACAAGCTAAGGAATGGAAGGCACAGCTCTAGAAGCTGGAAAAAAGCAAGTAAGTGGGCCGGGCATGGTGGCTCACGCCTATAATCCCAGTACTTTGGGAGGCCGAGGCGGGCAGATCATGAGGTCAAGAGATCAATACCATCCTGGCCAACATAGTGAAACCCCACCTCTACTAAAAGTACAAAATTAGCTGGGCGTGGTGGTGCGCACCTGTAGTCCCAGCTACTCGGGAGGCTGAGGCAGGAGAACTGCTTGAACCTGGGAGGTAGAGGTTGCAGTGGGCCGAGATCGCGCCACTGCACTCCAGCCCAGCCAGCGCCTGGCAACAGAGCGAGACTCTGTCTCAAAAAAAAAAAAAAAAAAAAAAGCAAGTAAGTGGATTCTGCAGCACCTCTGAGCCTCACTCAAGAGGGACTGTGTGTGTTGGGCAGAAACCCAGAGTGGATGCTGTGTCCAACGAAGGTGGCCACATGTCACCCCGTGCCCTAGCCCACTTTCCCCAGATGAAACATGGGCCCAATGATGCCATTTTCCAACTTTCCAAGATTTGTATCAGAAATCTCCTGTTTTAAAAATGTTTACCCTTTTAGAAAAATAAGCATGTGCAGAAGAAAGCACCATCTTGCTACTCCTGCTGTGGCTGTGCTGCTTCCCAGGAATTTACCCTCAGCTGTTTCCTTCTATGTTAGAGTTTGCTAAGTCTTCAGCTGTCCTCCATACACACAGATGGATGTGTTCCCAACTCACTCTTGAGCCCCAGAACAACACATTCAATTACCTACTGTGTGTCTCTGGTATATATCTGAATATACCAGAAGCATGCCCAACTCAAAATGCCGTAGACTGAAGTTGTCCTCTTCCTCCTATCACTAACCCTCCAACAGTCCCTGCCTTGGTAAATGGGCCCACTGTTTACCTGATGCCCAAGTCAGAAATCTCAATTCTTCACTATTCAGATACAAAATTCTGTGGATTCTAACCAACCTCTCAACATTTCTAACTACATAAGGAACTGCCTCTAAGTGCCTGAAGGCATTAACTTTAGGCTGGAGCAGGACAATGACCTCTAGTCGTCCTCTTCACTCCACATTTCCACCACGATGTGCTAACACAGTTCTGATCATGCCACACTCCCTTCTCATACAATCATTCCAAAAGCATATTCTGTGTCACACTGGTTCCATGGGATATGAATGGTGGTGTGTGACAAAGAGTTCTATGATGACACAGGTTTAGAACCAAAAACTTGAACACAGCTTTGTCTTTTCTGTAGCTTCTCAGAGTCCTTCATGTCTAATGTACATTTTGATTCACCGAGAGAGCAATACAGCAGTAAGGAGCTTCCCAAACTTATTTGGCCATGGAATTCTTTTGTCATGGGGCATTTCAAAGTAGTAGTGTTTCATGGTGAGAAATATTGTTCAATGGCTTTCCACTGTCTACAGGACACAATTCAAATTCCTTAGCACAGGCCTGAGAACAAGGACTATAAAGCCAGAGTATCCAGGTTCAAATTATGACTGTCATTTGCTTAGCTGTGGGACACTGGTCAAATTCTTCTCCATGCCTTTATTTCCATATCTATGAGGATGACAATACCATATGTCATAGGGTCAGTGAAAGAATTAGAGTTATAATTATACTGATAGTCCATTTAAAGTGTGTAGGACACTGCCTGGCTCATGGTGCTAGCTATTTTCTTATTCATGGTCTTTTATCAGCTGTCTTCTCCATCCTTACCTCCACCTATGAAGGCAGGTCGAGTTGACTTTTGGATCCTGGGACTACGCCTCCATCGCTGGCGCTGCTCTTCTCTCTGCCTATTCCTCTCCAGGCCCTGCCTTTCCTCCTACTGATCTCCACCTGTTAGCTCAAAGTTTTCCATGTTTCCCAGGCAGACTTGTGCACTTGCAGTCAGCATGTGCACATTTATTAGGTGACCATGATACACCTCGCATTTCTGCAGGGAGCAGGCGTGTCATAACATTGAATATCCTGACTCCCTGTACACGCCAGGGAGTGTGACTCTGCGACTTCTCACACCCATCCTTCCCTTCTACACCCAGTCTGTTGTGGCCGGTTTTACCCTTGTCCCCTCATCCCATTCCCTGCTAGACTTCAAACTGCTCCAGAGCCTTTCATCTTAGTATCCCCGGAACCTAGAATAATTTTTGGCACATAATATATGTCCAATAAATACGTGTCAACTACATACATGAATTTGTCTTGGCCACCGTGTCAAGCTCTCCACTGCCTGTCACGATGTGGGACCAGGTCCTCTCTGGGCCTGTTTCCTTCGGTAGACAAGCGGATAAAGGCTGCCTCACTGGGCCCTACGAGGACGCACTGCGTAGTGTGATCTGGCAGTCCGGCGCAGCGCAAGGTGGGAGCGCAGGGCAGTATCCCTTTCTCAGAATTCTTGAAAGTAAGTGAAGACTGCGCAGGGCCCCGAGCGGGTCACACCCAGGGGGCTGCGTGGCACAGCAGCATCCTGCGGTCCCCTGCCCGCCCACCAGCCCTGCACTCACGCTGCACGCTGCAGTTGCCTCAGCAAATGCGCTACCCGAGTCTGGGAGGCTGCGGCCATGGCGCGTGGTGTCCTTCTCCCTTCCAGGTCCTTACACCGCCCCCTTCGCCGGCCAATCCCAGCTGCCGGCCAGCCTCCCGTCCCTCTGCCTTGCCCACCCGCTCCGTGGGGTCACCAGTTAAAGCTCCAGCCCACTTGGGCTCAGGGCCATTTTCCCAGAGTCAGAACCAGAACCTCAGCTGCCCCAGCGGCACTTGCACCATACTGCGGTAGAAGGTAACTGCGTAAGGTCCCGCCTTAAATCTCCTTACTTACCCTCTGCTATTCACATGTTGAGGACTTGGGGAAAGGGAGAGGAACAGGGACATCCTTTTTCCATTGTGAATCCTTTAAAATGTTACTTTGCCTTCTGAGAGTACTTTAAGTGATCAACACCCTGCCTTTAAATCATTTCACAGTAAACAAGAACCTCACAGAGCCGAGGGTCTTTGTTAAAAGCGGTGTGAATGGCTTTGTTTTTGATGAAAGCAAAATGGTTTCATTAGTAGTTAAAACTTGCCATGATTAGACTATAATCTGGGAGGGGTTGGCAGTGCCCTGTCTGTCATGTCCCAGTGGAAAAGCTGATTAATGACAAAGCTCAACTTTATCAGAAAGTATCCAAAGACAGTAACAACTAATTTGCATTTTTAGTAATCTGTTATTATGAAATCTGAATCTTTCCAGGAGATATTAAGTTTTACAGAAATAAATTTACTGAGATCAAACTGGAAGAAACTGATGGACAGGAAGAAGACCAAGGACAGCTATGTAAACATTTCACCTCCTAATCAAAGAGCTCAGGCCAACTTGACAAATGAATTGAAAGATAACAATGTTCTGAGAACACATGGACACAGGGAGGGAAACAACACACACTGGGGCCTAGGGGAGGGGGATAGAAGGGGACAGTGGCCTTAATACTCAGGTGATGGATTGACAGATGCAGCAAGCCAACATGGCACACGTTTACCTATGTAACAAAGGTGCACATCCTGCACGTGTACCCTGGAACTTAAAAAAAAAAAAAGATAATAATATCCTAATTAAGGATCTTATGGGTCTGTTTCTTTTTTTCCCAAACAAAGCTATGCTTGCTGTCAAGCTTAAAAGCAAGCAAACAAACAAAAACAAACAACGGGGGATATAATGGAGAGAAAGACTTAAGTGTTTTCTGGATTAATGAGGATTATTACCATTAGTCAATGAAGCCCAAATTGATCATTTACAGGAAATCCAGCTGTTCAGTGTTGAAAGGCATAAAATCTTTTTAAAAAACAGACATGGGTTTTACTACTTTCAATATTATATCTGACACCAAAAGAAGTATATGTGTAAAAGTGGTCTCACTGAATCCATCATAATTTAACTACTTTGTGTTTTGTTTTGAGATGGAGTGTCTCTCTGTTGTCCAGGCTGGAGTGCAATGCAATGGCATGATCTGGGCTCGCTGCAACCTCCGCCTCCCAGGTTCAAACGCATCTCCGGCCTCAGCCTCCCAAGTAGCTGGGACTACAGGCATCAGCCACCATATCCGGCTAATTTTTAAATTTTCAGTACAGATGAGGTTTCACTGTATTGGCCAAGTTGGTCTCAAACTCCTGACCTCAGCCCACCTCGTCATCCCAAATTGTTAGGACTACAGGTGTGAGCCACTACGCCTGGGCTGCTTTGTGGTTTTTAGAAAGTAAATAAAAAATAATATGTACCAGGTATCCAGGTAACTGGCTTCACATACAATTGCTACCCAGTAGTCAGAAAGTTAAAAGCAACAATAGACAAGACATCTTTATTACTTAACCTTTTAAACATTCACTTGCCTATTCAATTCTGAAATTGTTGTATTTCCTTCCCCTGCTCTGATGTACAAGCTTGTTGTAAAAATAATGCAGAAACATATACACCAATCTAAGTCTGTGAAATATGACCAACTTCCCCCCACCCTATTTCCAAAGTTAAAAAGAAGAAAAAAGGCTGTTTAAGAACAGAACTCTTTCCCGGTTTCCACCAAATTATTTCCTTAATTCTTAAAATCCTCACCTAAGTTCTTCATCTCCAGCCAAAGTTTCGGTTGTGGGAAAAACATGAATTTGTGCAGTCCAACACTTACGTACTCTCTTGAGGGGAGGGCAGTCCTGTCCCTTCAAGCTCAATGAAGGCAGCGGCCAGGTCCTTCTGAGTCCCTGTATAAGTACCTACAACTTAACATTTAGTATTTATAGTTCTTGGTTTACAGACAGATGCAACGGCGAGAAACTATTACTTCCTCCTCTTTCCTCCTGGACGCTGTCCTCCTTTTCTCTTGCCACCAAAGCCAGGCGGCCCGGTATTCATCTTGCCTCCTAAGCCCCCTTTCCTCTTCCCTCCCTGGCTTGGTGGGCCCCCTTTCCTCTTGCCCCCAAGCCCCTGCCGGCATCCCTTTCTCTTGCCCTTCTGGCTCATTTTCCTCCTCTTGGCAGCCTCTTCCTGGTCCTCCTCCCTCATCTGCTTATTGGTGGCCCTCGTCACATCCAGCTGAGGCTTCTTGCTGTTCATGATACGAAGCAGCTCCAACTGGTTCTTTTTCTCTGCTGCAAAGTCCCCGAAAAGGGGTTGAAACTTCCTCTTCTTGCCGGAGCCCCGGGGCGCCTTCTCCTTGGGGAGACGTTCCTGGAAGCGTCCCACAGAGGCTGTGGAGACCTTGGCAACCTGCATGGCGCGGCCCAGCTCCTCCTTACTCTGGTGTCCGGTAGGGTGCAAGCCGGCTCCGCTGGGCAGCTGCATCTTGTGCGCGCGGGCCAAGTTACGCAGCCGGTTCAGCTCGTTCTTGGCCACTCGTTCCTTCTTGGCCTGAATCCGCTTGGCGAACTGGTCCTCCAAGGGGTCAGCATTGCCGGGCACCTCAATCAGCCATTCCTTGGTGTCGTCCCGGGCGCGCTGGTAGCCCCAGCGCCGCCGCCACTGGCCGCTTACCTCGTCCCACACCAGGTTGGTCTTCTTCTTGGAACGGATGCCCTTGAGGCGCGCGAACTGCTGCCAGCGTGTAAGTGGCCGCGGCCGGGGCAGAGGCTTCTCTCGCGGCAGGCGTGTGGTAGGCTCGGGCAGCCGCGCCACTATTGCCTCTTCCACGCGCTCCGTGGGCAGCTGCCATAGCTGGTTGATGAGCAGCTGCGTATTGTCCCGCGCCAGGGCCCGCAGTTCGGCCTCCGGCGTGGGTCCGGCGCACCGCAGCCCTGTCGGGGGGTTTCGGTCCGAAGCCAGCAGGTTGCCCAGGTCAAACTCCAGCTCCAGCTCCTTGAGTACCGTGATGCGCTGCAACTTCTCTGCCTCGCCCTGCTCCGCTTTTGCCAGCAGCTCCTCCACGCTCTGGCCCTCCATGGCTCCAACTCGGCTCACTAGCTTTGCGGGTGCAGCTGAAGTTACTTTTTCTACAGTAGCAGCCGAAACTCCGGCCACACAACCACGTGCGGCTACCGGGATGCCCAAACCGGAAGAGAAAGGTTCCCTTCCGGAGCGCCCGGAACTGGCTCGCAACCCGGGCGACCAGACGCAAGGCCGGCAGAGGGCGATGTAGATGATGGGATTAGAAGTGGGACCTTTTGGCTGGCGCCGGATGGAGGCGGAGCTGGCGCAAGCAGTCAGCACTGCAAGTTCCAGAGTAGGATTGGGACTGCGACTCCCAGGACGCAGCGGGGCGAGGCGCAGTCTGGGGGGCGGTCCAGAGACACTTCGCGGGGAGGCCTAGGGGGCGGTACGGGGATAGTCTCGGGGGCGGTCTAGAGAGGGCGGTCCTTGGGTGGCAGTTCAGGGGGCGGTCTAGAGAGGGCGGTCCTTGGGTGGCAGTTCAGGGGGCGGTCTTAGGATGGCAGTCCAGGGACAGTCTTGTGGAGGAATCCAGAGGGGCGGTCCGGAGGGTTGGTCCGGGAGCGCCGTCCAGGACCGGGACTGGTACAAATTCCTGGGGCTGCCTGTGGTGTGGGTTTCCAATCCAGTGCGTGTTACAGTTTCAGTGTAAATCCGTTGTGAACATGTTTAGACAGTCACCCTTCTTAGGGCCAAGTTGTTTCACCGGAGTCATAATCTGCTTTCAGGGTTCCTAGCTGTGGCCCGAAGAAGGTAGCATCTCATAGATACAGAGCTAATTGTAGAAGATTCGGTTTGTTTTGGGAGTGAGTGGCGCTGGCAATGCAGCCGCCCCTAGTAAGCGCAGGTGTGCACCGACCCTAGTGAACTAACTGACTTGGAGCTCTGGGGTCACATCCTCTCGGCCAGGCTCTGCAGTTAACACTGCCTGGGTTCCAATCCTGACTGTGCAGCTGTTGGTCCTTCAGCAATTTTACTTGCGGAGGCCTATTTTAAGGCCTGTGAGATGGAGATAATAATATTTCCTAGGGCGGTTATAAGATAAATGAGTTAATATTCTCCAAGGGAGGGTTAAACCAGGGCCTGGAGCATATGAGTACTCAATACAAGTTAGCTAAATAGTGATTATTATTTCATTTTCATAGGGTCTGGGAGCTAAATGAAGAGGCAGTGCTACATGGTGTTACACAGTGGTTCTTGAGTCAAACGGCCTACAATCAGGTATCAGTTCACCATTACTTGGAGAGAATGTTTGACCTAAGCCCTATTTATAAGTTGACAAACATGAAGCATTAGTTCCTGCTACATAGTAAGAACTCAGTATGTGTTAGCTATTAGTATTAACTATGTTATTAATTATTGTATTAACTATATTATTTTCACAGTTGAAACAAGGAGGGGTCAGAGAAGTGAAATGACTTATCTAAGGTTGTATAGATAGGAAATGCAAAAACAAATATAACTTAACTCTGGCTTTAAGTCTGTAGACGTATTTGCTGCAATGTCATACAAACTCTTGATATAAAGTGTGGTCTGTGTACCGGCAGCATAATAGCCCCTGGGAGCTTGTTGGAAATGCAGAATCTCAGGCCTCACTCTAGATGTAATTTATCAGAACCTTTAATAAGATCTGTAGGTGACTAGGATGTGCACTTGAGTATCAGAGGCACTGTTGATTGTGTGGTTTACAGGATTTATCTCCGTTTCACTGGGAGCCAGGTTTATCCTAGAGGGGGTTAAGCTGCAGAATTAACCAATGAAATTAACTTAATAGCAATGAGTAAATAGACTCAGTTTAGTTTCAGCATTGTACTAGACTTTTTCTTATCTAAAAGCATTTTAGAATTTGCTGTTTCCCCCCCCCCACCCCCGAACCTGCTTTAACATTCAGCATCAAGGCTTTAACATCAGTCATCTCATGTGGCCAGGACTAGGTTAAAGACCATATTAGCTAACTGCTTTGAGCCTTAAACTTTTGGGATTTGCCATAGGAGAGAGTTGAATGTATTGACACAACTGTTCTGGGCTTGGCTTGGTTTCTCATTCATTCATTCATTTACTTGACAAACATTTAATTGAATCGTTACAATGTGCCAGACACTAGGTACAAAGATAACTGAGACCTTATGGAGTACTGGGGAAGAAAAGTAAAAAGAAATTTACTATATAGTGTAATGTCATTGGAACTTTAATAGGAGGTACAAATATGTAGGAGTTAGCTTCTCTGTCAATCTTCTGAATTAGGAAAAAAAGAGCAGATGTTGACAAGTGTTAAATGGTATGATCTGGATCATACATGTCAGCTCTTAATTAAACTCTGTTTTATGTTCAGTAGTTTTTTTTTTTAGACAGGGTCTTACTTTGTCACCCAGGCTGGAGTCCAGTGGCACAATCTCAGCTCATTGCAGCCTCAACTCCCTGGACCCAAGCGATCCTTCTGCCTCAGCCCCCCAGGTAGCTGGGACTACAGGCACTTGCCACTACACCTGGCTGTTTGTGTGTATGTGTATATTTTTTGTAGAGCCAGGATTTTGCCATGTGACCCAGGCTTGTCTCAAACTCCTAAGCTCAAGTGATCCACCTGCCTTGGCCTTCCAAAGTGCTAGGATTACAGGCATGAACCACCATGCCCAGCCATATTCATTTTTTAAAAAATAATCTAAATGGATTTTAATTTCCTTGAAGACTAGAGACTGACTTTTACTTCCACATAGTACTGGACACATATTAGGTATTAAATTTGTGATTGTTTGAAAGAGTAAACATTATAGGGTTATCTAATTAAAGGGTGTTAATATTGTGTTAGATTCAAGGTGAGCAAAAGCAGTAAGACTGAGATTTGGGGCTTAACAAAAAATCCTACTGAGGTAAGTGGATAAGTTGTGGTCTCCAGGTTGCATTTGTATCATTCTTATTTTAGGCAAGACTATACAGTTTCCAGAAAAAGATGGCCCTATCTAGGTATGGTGGCTCACACCTGTAATCTCAGCACATTGGGAGGCCAAGGCGGGAGGATCCCTTGAGACCAGGAGTTCAAGACCAGCGTGAGGAAGATGGCGAGACCCTGTCTCTACAAAAAATAAAAAAATTAGCCGGCTGTGGTGGCATGCGTTTGTAGTTCCAGCTAATCACGAGGCTGAGGAAGGCTCCCTTGAGCCCAGGAGTTTGAAGTTGCACTGAGCTGTGATGGTGCCTCTGCACTCCAGCCTGGGCAACAGAGCGAGACCCTGATTCTGAAATAAATATGTAAAGTCCCCTTCATTAAAAAAAGAAGGTCCACCAGAGATGCATAAATATATGTGAATATGCATTAATAGTACAGCAAATGGCGATATATGTTGTCTTTTTCCTTTGTTGGTTTCCCTTCCTCCTTATATCCCATAAATACAGAGAGATCCTAAGTTTGGTCATCAGATCCCACTTTTTCCCTCTATATGCTCTCTATGACATGTCATCCACTTGCATGGTGTCAGCTACCACTTCTGTGCAGCTGGTTCTTACAGGCACATCTTTTCTTTTCTTTTCTTTTTCTCAGAGCTCTAGGATTAAATCTCCAACTACCTCCTGGGCTTTTTCACCACATTCTAAACTCAGTATGGCTAAAACGACATAACACATCATCTTCTAAATTTGCTTCTCCTTCCATCATCCATCCATCCATCCATCCATCCCTCCCTCCCTCCCTTCTTTTTCTCCCAGTAAATGTTTATAGAAGGCCTTTGATGCCTGAGACACTGTGCTGGCATTGAGAATTAGTAAAAAACCAACTCAGTTGATGTTATCATCATTCTAGTCTAGAGCTTGGCATTGAAACTATGAAGTCATCCTTGACTTTTCTCTTCCTATCCCCAAATCCAATCAATGTAAAAGTCCTGTTTGGTTTGTCTCTGTATTGTACCTTTTCCATTCCCATTGCCATCACCTTACCACTATTTTCCTAGACTGGAAATAGTCATCTGCTTCTCCACATCCTTTCTCCATCCACTCTGTCCCTGGCTTCCAGCTGGGTTTGGCCTGCAGGGGCAGTGACAGATCAGAAGGTATGAACAGAGTGAGGGCATGTATGCAGATTGTCATCAAAAGTCCATCAAAAGGCCACAGCTCCCATCAGGTAGTCCTGTCCATGCAGCCATCCTCCTGCTCCCTTGGTTGCTGCAGGTCTAGGAGTGATTATGGTAGCATTACTATTCTTTGTCAGTTTCCTTAAACTGCCCACATCTCTGCAAGTATTCTTTGTTTATCTTTCTTAAATTACCCAGCTTGATCACTGCCTGTTTGCTGCCCTGACTGATATCCTGAGAACCATCCTAGGAACAACCCAACATTTCCTGCTTCCATACTCTTTCAGGGTAGTCCTGAAGCTTTACCTTTGGTGTATCTGGCCAAATCACTCTTCTCAAAAACTCTCCTTTCTCCTTAATGAAATAATGATTATTCTTGGTCTTGGATGTTCATGATCTGGCCCCAAGAAATCACATGTCATGATAGTCCTCCTTATGTTTTATGGAGGTATGCATGATATGTTTTAATCACATGTCATGATAGTCTTCCTTATGCTTGTTTTCCAAATATTTCTTTCCCCTTCTTATTTTCTATTTTAGCTCTCTCTGGAGCCTTAGAACATTCCTCAAGAAAGTCGAAAGCGAGGTGAGGTGCAGGGCAGAAAAAGCAGCAATTATATTTTTGTAGCAACTATTGTGAAGTGAGACTGGAGGGAGAGTTTTTCCCGAAACAGGAACAAGAAGGTTAAAGCCATGAAAGCATACCTTTCATGTTCCCTCAAAACATAACTACTTTGGTCAGTAAAACATTTTTGTAAGAAATTTCTTTTTCATTCTTTGATGCCACATTAACTTAGATTTACTTTCTAAATGTCTCTTTTTCAGTTGCCTCTTTTTGATAGCAGAAATTGTTCGGGATGATTCAACCATTCTTTAATTCTGCTGTGAACATACTTTATAAAAGTATTTTTGTCTATTAAATTCAATGTACCAGTAATTTGATAAAATAGGAGAAAAGGGCCTTAAAATGCTTACATTATTTCCTCATGGCTCATTTTTACTGATCTGTAATTTTAATTTGGAAGTACTTAAAGGAAAAATTTAACATTGAAAATTTCTTAATCATAGACAAAACTTGTATTTATGTATTTCAGT